ATATCTTGAAACAGAAACGCCTCTGTTTTGAAATAAGTTTTTATGACTACTATCCTATCCCATAATGTACTCTTCCATTTTTATTCCACCATCAATCTTTTTCATGTAATCATGGAGCATTGACCAGCGGTCTCCTGTGACCTAGAACTGACCTAATATACAACAACGTGGGTTGCCGTTGGAGTCATAGTTGGGGAACAATGTATGTCTTAGAGAAACAAGGAACTTGAAGGTGTGATCGCACTCCTACACAAAGACATGGGAGGTCAACTTTACTTGTACCGCAGAATAATATTACAATGATGTGGGAGCTAACACTACCTGAACCACTTATTTACAAAAAGTAGGTGAATGGCTGACCAGTGCACTGGTGTGGTTTTCTCCTTCTTTCCTATCAAACATCAGTGATCACCATCTGTCCTTCTTCTTTTCCTTTGTTTGTCACTCTTTTGTAACAACTCCGATATTCGGCTCTTATGACCTAATTGCGTTATTAACGCCGTTAAATTCTACTAAAACGAAACGAAAGAATTCACTATTACGTATTTTAATTCTATTATATAATACGCAAAATTGCAAAAAACACAATTATGTGAGTTGGTTTTATTTCTGGAGACAAGAAAGCTTACCCGGACGGTGTCGGAGCTGATGTTTAGAGACTGTACATAACGTCCCACAAAGTCCAGCTCCTTACGGAAGTTGGCCTTCCCCACGGTAGTGCTGGCGTCCAGTACGAAGAGAATGTCCAATGGTTGGTCAACACAACCTGGGAAGTCGTTTTCTGTTTTTGATTAGGAGACATATTTTGTAATAAAAAATACAGTTGTCGTTGTTTGGGGTTTTTTTTCTAGATTTTTCAAATCTTACTTCCGTCACCAGAAAATTCTATCATGCTCCGCAACCCCACACCAACCCCCCAAACTAGCCCCATCATTTTTGTATTTCTTGGTCGATCTATCTTTTTCTTCTCGTAAACCCCTGCTAATACATAGAGACCTACTTGATTTATTTCAGTTGAACTTCGAAAAGACAAATGAATGTGAAAAATATACAGCTTAATTTAAGCAACATCTTCGGGGATGACTTTCTGTTTTCTCCAGTGGTTATGGCACTTGACAACAATATGTGCCTTAACATATACATGTGTTAAATATTGATAAAAGATCCTGACGTTGGATTGTGAGAACTTAACAGCTATAAAATTCATGTTCAAAAGATGCACCCACCACGAAATCCCCCCCTAAATAGATAAATAAATAAATACATACATAAATACATAAATACATACATAAATAAAAATGAAAACAGGTAAGGTGGTCATAACGAACAAACAAACAAACAAACAAACATACACACATACACACATCTACACACAATAAATAAATGAATAAATAAATAAATGATTTTAAAAAAATTAATGAATAAATAAATAAACAAATGAATGAATAACTTGACAATGTTGTAAATCTCACTCGCCTTCAGACTTGACAAGACCAATGCCAGCCTGCAGAAGGACGGCCAGCCCGACGACTCTCAGCCCGAATCCAGCCATCTTGTTTCGTGTCGTCTTTGAGTTGTGGACAGCTCTTTGTGCGACCTTGGAGACTAACCCAAGCCAAACCTGGACAACCGACTGCTTATCTGTGACGTAACCAGAACAATAGGAAACAACGCGCTGATGAATGGGTGGTCAATTGAAAGTGAGGTTTGTAAGACCATGATTCTTTATCTCGTTCTAATAGATCTCTACTCGTGTTGCTATTACGGTGTGGGCGTATTTAGTCGCTCTTGATTTGTTACCACAAAGCAATCACGACATATTTTTCGTGTTTGTACTATTCATTTGTTCAGAAGGTACTTTCACAAATAATGCAAACAATACAAAAGCAAAGAAATACAGGTCACCCCCTCCCCAAACCTGCTTCTTTGAAAGAACAATAACAGCAACAACAGACCGCATGCTCATAATAAAAGAAAACAACAGAATACTTGAGCCGAAAGGCAAAAAAAAAAATATATAAAGTCATGAAAAACAATACAAACAAATCCAACACTGTCAGACGATATTGTTATCCTTAGTTGAATTGCATGGGCTTTAGAACTATGTTCCACCTTAATAAATGTTCGAGTTCCTGGGCTACAGTGGTATAAAAGGACACTCATGCAGACTGTTCAAAGACCAACAACTACTAGAAAGATCCTACTCATTCAGTGGTCGTTTGTGCTTTACTAACATGGAGAACTCTCTACAGTTTAAAAAATTATAAATATATAGAGTTTTACTCAAATGCAAGACCTGAAGCAGACATTGGCTTTCATGGTTTGCCGCTTATTTATTTACAACGCAAAAGGGAATCTAGAAGAAAAAAAATGATAATAGTGCTTGCTGTTAAGACCTTGTCTTCTTAAGGTCTTTCCAGGCTTTGGCCAACAGAACCGTTGTAGGAATCTGAAGGTTAAAAATCTTTATGTTGACAGCCTGCATCTGACTTAAAGCAGGCCGCCCATGGCTGTAATTGGTGTTCATTGTAATATGTAAACATTTTGTTGGTGACGCTGCTTGTTCATCAACTTTTTTTTTGTAAATTGTAAGTGAACGTTTAAATACGTTATCGTCGATTTAGATAATTTGAGAGACAAGCTGCTTCGACCATGCAAAATAAAATCAACACAGGCTGAGGGGAGTATGAAATGTCCAGGCAGACTGAAGGAGTCATTGACTTGTATATTATAAAAAAGAAGAAGAAGAAGAAGAAGAAGAAGAAGAAGAAGAAGAAGAAGAAGAAGAAAAGCAACAGCAACAAATGATCCTCACATATAAACCGATCATAACTCTACTACATATGACAGTAAAAGCCTAAATTTACCTTATAGACATTGCTGTTCAGGAGAAAAAACAACAACAGAGAGTTGTTGTTCTCTGAGCTCATCAAATTTTAGTACAATAATATAATAGAAAAATGTACACAGTGATGGTTAACCCCATTCTCACAAAGAGTAATAATAAAAAAAACCCATTATTAATTCATAAGACAATAAAAATCTAGGTAACAGGCAGGCTTACCAGTGGATATTTCCGAAATATCTACTGCCCTTATTATGTTCAGTCTTGTTGGGTTCAATTCATGAATTCACCGATTAGCGGAACCGAACATTTTCAAGCGTAAATTCGACACCTGCAAATTCGAATTTTCACCTTCCTAATGATCAATTGCCATGGAGTAAAGTTAATTACCTGTTGTTTAAAACAAAAACAAAAATGTAGTGCAAAAAACGACCCATTTTAAACGACAATAACTAGGTATCTCTGTGATAATTCCAACAAAGTTTTTAAAAAAAAGAAAAAAGGAATACAATACATAACATTGCAATACGAATACATTTTAACCAATTGTTCAAGATATAAGGTCAAGTTTCTTAAAATTTTAACCTAAATAAAAGGAAACACAAAACTTTGGAACTTCTGAAAATTCAACCATGTGTATATTGAAGACACAGTTTTATAATATTGGAGTATCTAAATAAGGTCAGTACAGGTGGGGCCATTGAAATTGTAGGATGTCCTAGATGCTGCCCATCATTCTTCAGACACGCTAGTATACGCTACTGAGAGTTTAAAACAAACCTGTGCCATGTTCTTGGGTCGAATTTGTGGACATTCTGTTCAAAAATGAGTTTCAATGGGTACTTATTTTTACCGAAAAAACCCGAGAAGACCTGAAAAGACCCGAGAAGACCCGAAGAGACAGCCGAAAAGATCCGAGAAGACACGAAAAGACACTAAATGAGGGTACTTATTTTTACCGAGAAGACCCGAGAAGACGGTGAGGTCAGATCTGTTAGTGGCAAATAAATAAACAACAAATAAATAAACAAAAAATAAATAAACCATGTACGTTTTTTGCACAGGCCATATAGTGTCTTTTCGTGTCTTCTCGGGTCTTTTCGGCTGTCTTTTCGTGTCTTCTCGGGTCTTTTGGGGTCTTTTCGGCTGTCTTCTCGGTATAAGTAAGTGTCTGTTAGTGACAAATAAATGAACGACAAATAAATAGACAAAAAAATAAAATAAACCGTGTATATCTTTTCGGGTCATTTAGTGTCTTTTTGGTTCTTCTCTGGGTCTTCTCGGTATAAATAAGTGCCGGTTTCAATTGTTTGATCGTTTGCGGTTTAGCCTCCGTATACTATGTTAAATGAAAATAATCGCTGAAGTTCAACTCGGAGGGATAGGAGGACCATTCATTTGTAAGCAGTCGGCTTACAAAATGTTCTCTGAACGTTTCTTGCAACCGTATGAGGACTGTCTTGTTGCCCTACCCAACTGTAACCTAGCCTCCTCAACGGTATAAACTTCTATTTCACAAAATTGTCAAAAGATTTTTCCTCTTCCATCCAATGAGACTGTCCTTTTCTAGAAATCATTACGGCCGATCAAGTCCGGTAACTAAACGCATTTAAGAAGTCAAGGTTTGTGTTTTACCCAATTTTTGTTGAACTTTTTAACAAATACATATCGCCAACATGGAACTTTACTTACTTCATTTTGAAAAATATATTTGAAATTTTGCTAAAATTGATGCAAAGATGACCGAGCTATCACCCTTAACATGCGATCTCTATTTTAAAGTAAAACAACTATTAGGTTGCTCCGAATAAAGACAGATGACTCGATATTTCGAATTTTAATTCCTCTATGACAGTTCGTTTCCGTGCCATAGGTTATAATTATTATTATACTTGGTAGTAATGCAAAGGAGCTGAATCCGGACGAAAACAGGAGCGTTTTTCGGGATAAAGGAAAATCTGAAAATAATTTTCTCTCAAAGAAGGGGTGGACTGTTTTCAGGTTAAACCTTTCCTACCGGTGTTCCAAAGTTAAATTTCACTTTAAAGATTCACCAATTTCGAAATCATACCACAGATTCTCAATTCTGAATTCTGAATTGACTCTTCTCCTCCCTTCGTGACTACCGATTAAATACTTGTGACGGAATTCCCGACCGTGAGAAAACAGCCAGCCGCCAGCAGAGTCGCAGAGCCAGAAAGCGATTGTATAACGTGTACACATTTTAATTCACCAAAGAAAGCAGACTCTTCTCTAAGCTGAAATTGCTTTGGATTTGTGTACCCTTTTATTTTATAGCTGTAATAACGCCTTTATTTATTATAATTATGATGATTGAAATAATAAAAGTACAAGTTTTACGCCCTTTATCGACACTGTTTAGATCATATAAGGGGCGGGCTTCTTCAACCATGCCTGTCAGGTAAGATGGGTATAACATCCAAGGAAAAAAATTTATAAAAATGATCCCCACAGGCTAATCAAACTCGCGTCTCCTACTTGCAACAGCGAAGCCCCTGAGCGCTGCAGCCCATAAGCCGGTAGCATTTAAAGAGTTTGGGTTCAAAATATATAATCAACTGAAAAAGACAAACGTGAAGAAAAGTATGCTTGTTAATCAATGGACGATATTGTGTATGCTTTTGGGGGAGAAAACGAAACAAACTGAAAAGAAGCAGAATTAAATGTTCGGCTACCTCATGCTTTATGAAGAGCAAAATTAAAGCAGTAACGATCTGACAGAAAAAGAGTAAGTTCTAATTTTGGGCATAACCCATTTTGACACTGAGAGTTACATAATATTAGGATAAATTTTCCTCGCATAACTGGTAGTTCAACTTCAAATATGGTTGAGATACCACGACTTCGTGTTAAATATAAAAGAAGAGAAATCAAATCTCAAGGAAACAGAATTAATGGTGCAATAATAAATAATTAAAATATGTATAACAAGGGAAGCAATTCACTGTTGCCCACAAACAAGTAATTTCTTCGCTTATTGTCCTCCTCCACAGTTAGGCCATGCAACTCGGCCACCATATTTTGGGTGAACATTATAATCACAGTAATAGTTCTTCCCGTCAATAACTGACGCTCACCAATACAGCAGGAGAAAGAGAGAGCGAGAGAGAGAGAGAGCGAGAGAGAGAGAGAGCGAGAGAGAGACAGACAGACAGACAGAGACAGACAGACAGACAGAGAGAG